GCCGGAAACATGGGCAGCGGCATAGGCGATACAGCGGCAGTAGATACAGAGAGGGACAGAGAAGGGGGGAAACGTGGAGAGATCCGAGGTACAGGCACGGCAGCGCCAGGGAAGGAGAGGGGGGGTACACATGTAAATGCATGTCGTAGTCGTGAGGCCATTGGCCATTGGGAGCTACAAAGGTGAAAGCCTGCGAGACCGAGAGAGACTCTCACCCAACCCCAATTTCTGCCGACACTACCCAAACCCAGACGCTCTGCCATAGGCCAAGGTCGATTCGGCCGAGATGGGACCACATGCGTGCTCCGGGCTGTCCCCTGTCCCCGCGATACGCCACTTTCTTTATGTTTACCACAATATACCGTAGGTGACACAAGATTCCACATCCCCAGGACCAGTTTTCAGAGCTCGAGTACTCCACGAAGCAGAGGATGCCGAACTCAATTGATGCGTTTTCGGGAAAGATGTCGACGAGACGGCTTCGACGACGACGTCGCTTCGGTGCGGCCACTTTTTCCACTTTCGGAGAAATCGAGCTTTGAAATCAGTCCGGGAAGCGGTATCTAACGCCATGTCGCCTACGGTAGGCTGCTTAGACAGGGCCTCGAAACGTAGGTTGTGCGTCGTTCAATATGCATTGACGGTGCCACAACAGAAGAATAAACCACACACACACAAAGACACACATGGTCTCGAGACCATCCTATCGTACACCGGACTGCATCCAGCGTTGGTCAAGGCAATACATGGAACAACATGATTACCTCCGCAGACACATTTAGTTGACCCTTTTCGCCCAATCCAAGGTCCCCTCCAAAGAGATCCTTGTCCCCTCACGGAGAAAGCGACAAACTATCGGCGAATATGTCGACCCCAGACATCTGAGATCTTGCGAAAGCTACCCGTCCTGTTTCGCTTGGACGAACGGGGTTCTACCATGCACTCAAGACCCCCCGTGTCCGGTTGAATCTAGATACCTTTGTCGGATAACCTGGCACAGACTAAATAACTCACCCTGCTTATCTCCTGCCGGTTCTTGCCCTTCTCTCCCCCGAGCCCAACCTTCATGCGCAGGATCTTGCGCTGTATTTTGCTGAGGTCTTGGCACAGACACTGCTTTCACGAGACAGCGCACGCGCGCGAAAAGAAAAAGAAGGTCCAATGTAACTTACCAAGCGTTACATGCTGAAACAGGGCTGGAAGGGGGGGGATGCACTCGTAGTCGTGCATGCCGTAGTCGTTAGACCATTGACCTCTCATCCCTCCAAAGCCGGGACGGAGCACGCCGGGTTCTCACCGGACCAGGCTCTCACATCACCAAGCGCGAGCGGGGGGGTTACTCGCGTACTCACAGCCGTGGTCGCTAGATCACTAATCTCGCATCCCTACAAATCCGTGATGGAGCACGCCGGGTTTTCACCGGACCAGGCTAGCACAGAGCCGGTCGCCCCGGTGGTCTATTAGGGGGTATCCTCGCAGCCTTCTAAGGGCCAGGTCATGGGTTCGAGTCCCGGCATAGTGAGTTTTTTCTCTAAATTAATCCTGGTCTAAGTTGGAAGCGACGCGCTGCAAAGCTCGTTGTTAGTAAACTGATCGACTTCATTGTCGACATCGACTTAGCCGTCGCGAGGGAAGGGATTGCTGAACCCTTCTCGCGATAAAAATATCTCAGGCAGGAACCACAGGAGGGGGTCCAGCCTCCCCCTCCTATGTGACCCCGGTTGGGTCGTCTAGCTAGTAGAAGTGGAGGATGTGGGCCAGAGGGGCAGACAACAGAGTCCAATGATGGGAGAAACAAAACACACACACACACACACACCAAGCGCGAAGCGCCGTGAGGTATTCGGCGAGTCGCATGGAGGGTGCGCTGCATTCCCCCGTGAGCCCACTTGCATTGCCCTTTTTTGAATTCATTTGACGATTGTTGATGCATCCCTTTCTGAGGAGAAGCATTGCTCTGGGTCCTGGTAGAGGTATCGCCAACACGGTCAAATACTCTTGAGATGCTGAAGGGTGGGAGGGGGTGACTTCAAGACATCGCCAACGCTGTCATGCTTTTCTTGAGGATGAGGGAGGGTGGGGGCTACTCCAAGGGGAAGGGGAGCCTGATTCAGTCGCTGTCAGTTCCAAAGCCGTCACCTTCAAAGTAACCGGCCACTCTTAGGAGTAACGGGAGTCGGAGGTCACTCCTCCACACCCAGCCTATTCCTGAGACCTCACTCGGCGCTATTCCTCTCATACAACCGGTTTCACCACGTCATACCATGTAGTAGTGTCTCCGTGTGCGTTTTTGTTCTACAAGCCAACATGCATGTTAAATCACCTACAGGGAGGGGACGGGCCACCGAAGCCGCAACCATTACACTGCCCAGCACGCACGAGTCTGCCTTAAAGGCTTGATTTCGGCCTCTGTAAGAGTTACCGTAGGTGACATGACACAAGACAACACCCCCCCCCGGACCGATTTTCAAACCGCGACT